ATCTTTTTTTTTTTTTAATTTCCACTTAGTATATATTTTCATGCCAAACAAAAGTGTGTTCTCTACCCACTTTGAATTCACACCCGAGACACATTGCCTGCAGAAAGGCAGAGTTCAGGAGGCTTATCTTCATGTCTATTTTTTCCTATCTAATGCTTTTGCTGGTTAAAGAAAGTTGTTCAAGACTCTGATCAGAGTGCTCTGAAAGAACTTTTATTAGTAACAACCAAGGCTAATAGGCCAAGGCAAGCACAAAACCAGGAGGTTTCTTCTTTTAACATCAGGATTCCTAAACAAAAGGATCTATAGATCCCCTAAACCATAATGCAGAGCACTCAGCCTTCTATATTTTGCCTACTAAAGCTTCTCTAACTTCCCACCAGGAAAATGATGCCAGGCTGACTTAATAAAGCACCCCGAAAAAGGGTTCAGCTCTTACAAAACCTGGAAATTCTACCACTATTTTTAATCCTCTTATAAATATTAATAATATTCTCTGACTTTCTGTTGACAATATTCTGTTTCATCTTCCTCTGTGAGTTTTTACAGAATTAGCATTATATAGATCCTTACTACATAAGCACACTTCGGTGATGGCAGGAAAAGAATTTTGAGCACCTGAACACAGACACCCATACTACTTGTCACAGGACCCTGAGATGACCTCAGTGAGTGGGAGCTGTGTTTCTGCCCAAGGGGCAACTCTGCTGCTCTTCAGTCTCATTGCTAATGTTGGCCTTCCTTGAGTAAACTGTCCCCATGTTGACTCCCTGCATTTAAGCATCAAGCCAGCTAGCCCTGCTAGCCCATGCACAATGTTGTGCTACCTCAGTGCTGAATTGCTTGGGATTTAAGAAGTTTGGTAGGACTGGCCACAGTAGAACCCAACCAGGTGAATAATGACAGTTCCATGGCAGGAGCTTGTGTTATGCAGGAAGTGAGACCAGATATCAGATCTCCTGTTAGTCCATTATCCTGTAGATGACAGTGGCAAGTAGCAGATGCCCAGGGAATAAAAAAGAGTAAGAGCATGCTAAGCATAATAATAATGCTTTCCCAGGGTCTCTCCAACAGGTTTTCTCCAGCATCCAACAATTTGCAGCTCAAGGCTCTAGGATGTAATGATACAAGAATCTGTAGTGCATCTATACAGTTAGGCCCTGACATTGATGCTTTTTGTGGGAAAGAACACAATTCATCAAGAACCAAATTACAGATATTTCTTTCTTCAAAAGTTAATTCAGACTTATAAACACCACAATCGCTTTATGAAAGCCTGGAGAATTTTATGGAAAAAAATTAAAAAGCAATAAAGAGGGTCTCAGATTCCCTTATTTGCACCCCACCCTTTTGGTCCTGTTGAGCTAAATTAGTATCAGTGATATGGAAAACTGCAAACTAAGTGAACCTATGCCAGTGGTACAGTCAGTCATCCTGTCTTAGCTAAACCTTTTTCAGAGAAGCAAGAGGAAGGACTAGGAAGACCTTTGTAATGTGCACAAGTATATCAAGTTCTTTTATGGCCTGCTGACTGGAAGCCCTACACATGTTTCAGTTGATAAGGCGATCACAAGGTTTTCATTCTCATCTGAATAGAATATTTAATCTCTGGAGCATTAAATCCCATGTGCTAAATTAAATTTCCTGCAAGCTCGGCAAACAGTCTTGATACATTGAACTGCATTGTACATGCTTTCCTTTCATCACAGGATGCATTCTATCTCATCATCAACAGCCAAGAGGAGAAACACCCCTCAGACCAGGGAGCCAAGTCTGCTTCGGCACAAGTATTGATATGCTGTGTTCAGTGAGCTGTGGTATTCAAACTGCCATCAAACAGTAGTCCGTTGGGGTGGGATTCAGATGACCAAGCAGAGGTACCTGCAAGTGAGGGCACTATGTCTGAACCAGACACTGCAGGCTCTTTTAGCTGTTCACCAAGATAAAAGACTAGTTGGTTGGCACAGTGCAGCTCATCTCATGCAAGCAGCTGGGCAGACAGCATCCTAAAAGTGCCTTTTTCTTTGTGCTGATTTTTAAGGCTGTGCAGAGAATTAGCTCAGGTGTAGACAAGCCACACTGCAAATCTCTGATCAGGAAGGAAGAATATGAATTTTAGTTCCCTCCCAATTCTAAGCCAATAACAGTTTTTGCTATGGGGGTTTGGGAAGGCTTTTCTACGCCCCCTGCTGTAAATCAGTCATCTGTGAGTGTACCTCAGAATGCTTCATACTTATAGGCTAAATTTTGCATCTTGATCAAGAGTTGCCTAAAGCAGAGAAAGCTGGTTATATTTTTATTTTACAGGAACAGAAGGAAGAGGAGGAGAACTAATGGCACTATTGAAAAAACAGAGGACTTTTTCACATCATAAATTCTCAACAAGTTTAAAATATTGCATTTTGGTAAAGCACACCAAATACTTGTGCTGCTTTTGTAAACAAAGTTCAAACTGTTTTAAATCTTTGTTAAATTTTCCTTATTTACACTTTTACTAAATAAGAATGGGTGACAGTTGTGGTTAAGAAGATTTTAAAGAAACAAAAGTTCTATGTATGCTACAGCATCCATACAGTACAAAGTACAAGGTAGACTGGGGGAGCAATACACAGTGGAAAAAAAAATTTGTTAGGTGACAGAAATTTAGATGTGTTTTGCTCAGCTCTATTCAGAGCTCAGTCCTTTCCCAGCTTTTCTTGCACATCTAGAATTCATAGCATTTTCAAGATTTCCTGGCACAGGTTCAGAAGTATAGGGTGTTAAGCTATTAAAAGCAACTTAAAAAATCCACTTTTTTTTTGTTATAGCAGTGAAATGTCACAGGAAGTTGAGTTTGACCTACAAACCTCAACTTCTCAGTACCCCAAACTCTAGCCTTACTTGATCAGGGTAACTGAACATGCCTGAAAAAAAAAAGCGTAATTTGCTATAAAAAGGAATTAAATGTGTATAAACAGAAACTAGGTTTTGGCAGGCTATCTTTTTTTCTAATCCTTCAGTATTTCCCCAATTACTACACAGCCCAATCATTCTACATAAGTTGTTTTTATTAACACTACAAGAGGCCATCTGTCTACAAATACCCAGTCAAATAATAGAAACCAACACAAAAATAATCAAATTCAGCTACTGACAGATCTAAAAGATTTGTGTGCAGAATAAATATTTACTTTTTAGGCATTTCAATAACATTCTGGGAATTTTCCAAGCATTTATCATTTTAGAGTGGCAGGGAACTGTAACAATTCTTTCTCCACCCATTTCAAGAATTTTTACTTTCAATCACCAAATATGATGTAACATTATGCCTTTCCAATCTGCATCACCCTGTTATCACACCTCTAAAATACTGTGCATGCTGTGAATGTTACAGCTTATAGAAAATACAACCGCACATTCTGATCCATAAAATTCTGCCTCTCTTAGAGGTGTCTATTCTGAAAGATCTGAGTTCGTCCTCAAACTATGGGTGTAGCAATGGGCAGGTCTCCTGGATGGGTCCCCTGAATCAGTTTAGATGGATTTGCTTTAGTAATCTAAACTAAAATACTTGGCATAGTCAGTTTCTGTTGAGAACTATTTTAGATTTGTTTTTAAACACACCAATGTGCACAGAAGATTCCTTTTAACCTTCCGTTTGAAATCAGCATTGTTTGTCATATTCAATATTCCCGTTGAAAAGGAAGGAGAAGAGGAATTAAAATGGGGAGGCTGCATAGAACTAACATACTGGTCATCATTAGCAAATATAGCAACTTATACTGTGCTGTTATTTTCTGCTATCCAAAGTTTCCATGGGAACAGAAGAGATTGAAAAGATTAACTATGAGTTGCAATACATCTCTGAGCAATGAACATAATGAAATTTGTGCAAGTGTGGAAGAGAATGGTTTCCCTTTCTGTTCAACAGTCTAGGGCATTACAGCAATCCACTAGTGTGGAGCTATTTTTCAGCTAGTCCTCAGCTTCCGCATTTCACCACTGCTCATCCAGATGCCTGAGAGAGAGGATTTCACACTTACCCTATGAAAGAAATACCCTGGTAGTTACAGTGCCTCCCAGGGAAGGCTGTTGCTGCACTGTATGGCTTTGCCACGTGTAGGCTAAAGCCTCCAGCCTGTTAGTAGAGCAGTTACTCGTGTCTGGCCCTGATGCTGGGAGGTAAAAATTCAGAAATGCTGCAGGCACATATGATCACTCTGTTTATATTGATTTACACTGACTTTCCTCAGAGCCTCAGAACTGAATTTGCCTCAGAGGCCATAATGATTCTAATCGGGAATTGTAGATTTTAAATTATGTGTCAAAAAAAAAAAAAAAACAAACCAAAAAATGCCACAAAAAACCCCACCAAACAAACCAGCTGATCACAATGAAAACAAATTTAAATATGATGGAGAAAGATCAAGAGAGTTTTATGGAAATGGACTAGATTGCCTCTTGAATTAGTACCTCTTCTTGAACACACAGATACTTTAAATAAAAACCTGTCCTTCTTATAAAATCTTGCCTTCAAAATGTATCATAGGATATATAGTTCTTAAGAGAATGAAATATATAGGAAGAATATCTTTTCATAACCACCTTATATAGTAGAGTTATGATATACTGAGAACACAGTAATTAAAAAGGTACACATACAGGAGGTTTATATAAAAAAATTGACATAAATGTTTGCATTGTGGTCCAAAGTATTACCATGACTGCTTAGGGAACTAAAACATTTCACCAGGGATAACTACAGCAGCCAAAAATCTACTATTATGTAATAGCTGAAAAGAAAGAGGGAGAGGGAAAAAAACCCCAACCAACACTGCATCTCCTCATGGTCCCTGGGGTATCTATCCAGAGCAGATGTTAGGAGGGAAGGATGTGCTTCTACAGCCTGCTGAACGAAAAATGACACAAGGACTACACATTTTGCAACAGGGTTAAATAAAGAGGTATCAGAAATGCTGAGGAGTTCATGCTTAGGGAAGGCAATGGGAAGGACGGAAACTTTGGTGCTCTCACCTTCAGAAAATGAGGGGCCAGTTCCTGACTGTGATGTCTGGTAAATCAGCTCATCTCTTTTTTGTGCCTTGGATGCCCATATGATGGCTTAAGCCAAATAGCAGTTTTGCATCGAGAGGCATATTAAAAAAGGAATCATTAATTTTAAAATCAAATAGTATACTTGCATCTATCTTGCAGATAAAACAGTGCATTTGGAAAACAGCTCTTCAACAATGAAAACTACACTAATAAAACATATTCCCCTTCCTGCATAAGCTACAATGTTACAAGGCACTTACCACCCACATAACCGTGGCCATATTCAGTAGCATTTGTTTTTTTCTGCTGGCTCACTGTGGTGAACACAGTATGACTTCAGAGCACAGAACGTACCTGCAATAGAGAAACATTCTTCAGCTGTTAAACCCACACACCATTTTGCTGGGCCTGAGAAGAGGGTGGACAAGTAGCAGGAGAGTTAATGTCAGGAAATAATAATAACACTAATACTTCACTAATTACTCTTTTCCTCTGCACTCGATCAAAAGTGAGATTAGGACTGCAGCTAACCAAAAAATAAACCCCCAGAATTTATGTTGAGAATAAGAGGATACATCTGTTTCCCGTCTTAGCCAGATCTACTCACCCTTGCCATCAGAATAGCTACACCGAGATGCAAAGTTCTGAAGATTAAAGCTGAGGGTCACTATTTTTACCCAGAGGAGCTCAAGAATATGCGTAAATGTAGTTCATTATGTCATCTCTGCCTGTGACAGTACAGAAGTACTGCCAAACAGGGAAACTCCTAATTGTTAAAAGCTCATCTGAGTGAATGCAAGTGAGAGATTAAGGAAATACCTGGCCCAAAACTGCGTTTTACTTCATTTCTGGAAGTCAAAAAGACAAGCTTACTATGGATTTAACTAAGCACAGCACTGACATTTAGCTTAGTCAGGACTTCGCCTGTATGTCCAATGTGTCTCAGTTCCTACATTGTATTTTAGAGCTGGGAAAGAGATATTTAGAAAATGAACTCCTTCACTGAGTTTTTCTTTTACATACTTCCAGTTTTGGCCTGTCGGCAGGATTTTTAAAAGATGAAATTTGCTACAAAAACTATCAGAATGGGAATACCTGGTCAAACTGACAACTGACTGCCATCTGTTCACTGCTCACTCGTGTGTTTGGAGTCTCCTTTGTGCTAAGTTCTGCATGTATGCATAGCAAATGAGAAAGTGCCTGCCCCAGATAGCTCAGAATAGATGGAACAAAGATTTGCCCAAGACTGCAAGGTGTACACAGTAGAACTGGTTCTCTCATTTCAAATCCAATTCCAATTCGTCTTTCTTTCTGAAATGGATTGGAAACTGTCCTAGCCCTGTAAGGAAAACAGGTCTGTATCGCTAACACACACAGCAGTTTAGCAGTCTGTGGCTAAACACAGGAGGATGTACAGATGCTGTGAACGCAAAGGCTAAATTGTTATTTAAGTTGAATTAAAATGAAAATTTTGCTACAGCCTTCACTGTTCAGAGTGGTAACAGCAGAAGTAATCACTTTGTTTCACAGACTTTTCTCCCTGTGAAGCCTCCTATCCTAGAGAAAGTAATGGTTTGGTTTTTGCCATCCTTTTTCTGTCTTCCCAAATATAAATCCCAACTTACTGTCCTTCTAGAAACCTTCTATCTTCAAAATGCCTGAGCCAGGTTTCTACAAATCTACAATTTACAAAAGAAAAATATCTTTGGAACCCTTTTCAGCTGTCTTGTTTGTCTTTTTGTGCCCAGAGTATCTCAAGACCTGGTTGGGAGATCTCAGCAGACAGGGAGAAAGGGAGAAAAGATGCCTGCTCAGATAAACAGCCTGCTCCTCCTCTTCACTGGTCCCTTGCCCAAAAGATTGGATAACATCACAGAATCTATGCTGTAGAAGATTTTCATGTTATCTTAAAATCACACTCATAGAATGATTAGGGTTAGAAAGGACCTTAAGATCATACATGGGCAGGGAATTCTCACACTAGACCATGTCGCCTGAGGCTCTGTCCAACCTGGCTTTGAACACTGCCAGGGATGGGGCATTTACTACTTCTCTGGGCAACCTGTTCAAGTTCCTCTCTACTCTTACAGTAAAGTTCTTCCTTATATCTAACCTGGACTTCCCCTGTTTAGATCAATTACCCCTTGTTCTATTGCTACAATCTTGAACCATTAACCTACAGCATGTGGTATTACTGTACTCCTAACCCAGGCATTCAGCTAGATGGAACATATCTGCACTCAAGTATATGCCTGGATTACTAGTATATTGGAGCCCCAGAACCAGGGAGGTGCAGAAGGCCAGAGGAGCAACGTGTAGGAATTGCACATATTCGTGCAGCAATTCCTTCTGTAGCAAGAAAACAGCAAAAGGTATCATGTGCCTAAGGAGACAGGTCTGTGTTTGTTCTACTTATCTGCAATGAGGTCTGCTTCTCAAAGTCCCTCCATACTGGAACACAGAGGAGGTCAAAGCTACTAATGCAAGCCAGGTGCCGTGGCGATTATCATGCAGCTGCTCTATGCTATGTCTGCAATAACATATCACCACCAATTCTGACCCCAGGAGATCCTCACACAGAGCTCTTTTACCACAACTTTGCAAGGAATTAGTTTTTGGACCAAAAGACACTTAATTATAATGTAAATTAAGAACTATGGAAGATGATGCCTAGGTTTTTGACAGCATGATTCGCAGTGGTTACTTTTGTCCTTTTAATGAAAGCGATGCAATTAAGGAAATCACAGTCGGATAGAGTTTGCTTGCAGAAGGAAAAAGAACTGCAGTCACTGAAGCACGTAACAGAGATATGGAAAATCAGCACTCCTCCACAGTTCATGCAATGAACCGTTCACAGTGCCAGCTTTGAACTATTCCACAGTGCATTTTGAATAACACATTACTTATATGCCTCAAATAAAACATAGGAATCTTAACATGACACTGATTCAACTTTGTAAGTGTTCAACTCATAAATATTCTTAATCAAACAAATGCATCCAGATTAAGATTATTTTTTGCCTAGGATTTTTTTTTAAGTCTCAAATTTCAATTGTAATGGAAGGTATTATATGTGCAGTTTCTAATATTACTGCTTAGCCTGCAATGAGATGATGTTATTGTTAAACTGAAGGAATTCCTGTTCCGTGGTGTTGTTTTTGGCTGATCCAGTATTGTGTGTTAACTTCATGTGATGCATTTTCTCTAGAACCAATTTCCTTCAATTCATCAGCAGAGATTCAAGCGGCTCTGCTAAGAGTTTGTGACATTTTTTTGGAAGTAGCTATGAACATGCCAATGAAAAGTTAACAGATTGTCAGGAACGCTCCCTTGGGAATGACGTTTCTAATTTTTCTTTATTCTTTATCTTTTGTTTATCCTCTTTTCCCTTTCAAGACTGTATCTTTCCAGCCCAGCAAAATTGTTCTGTGGAGCTCTCTACTTATGACACAGTCCTAGAGAGCTGCAGAAGAATCCAGATCATGGAAGAACAATCTAATTATCTGCTAGAATGGAGGCCTGGAGCAACAAAGATTCAAGAGCAAACCCACAGTTAGTGGTTACTGTAGACTCTGTTCCTAGCTTTCTCAGCCTCATTGGATGACTACTGCCAATTGATTACAATCAGGTATTTCAGACCCAGCCACAGACATCAACAGTTTATCAGCGGTGCAATCAGTGCAGACCACCAGCGGGTCACCTAAGGAATTGTCTTTAAACAAAAACATTTTCCTGTTTCACACAGCACCGAAGCAGCCAACACAGAGTAAAACTGGTATGAACTCTGATGGAGTCATCTGGATCATGACAACAGTATAGCATTAACTATTTAGTCAGTGGGAAGGGGCATGTGATTGTAACATAGCTAAGTCATCAGTCTTGGTGATTACAGGTAAGAAAACAGTATACTCAGCCAAGCAGTAGAGAAAAATGGATTAAAATAATATGATGCCGGTAAAGACAGGTAGTGACAAATTCTTTTGCTTTCAAGCAAAAGAACACTTGCTATTTATTTTCCTCTGAAGTTCTTTGTATTTTATAGAAACGGACCATTTTGAACAATTCTCACTGGCTCAATACATGTGCCCATCCAAGCCTCCCTAAGCCAGAGGGGACTATTAGGAAGAAAAAAACAACAATTAATGAATGACCCTTGTCATATAGCCCTGTTCAAACATACACGTTCCTCAATAAGCACAGTAAACTGCAGCTTTGAATTGGATACAGAAAGAAATACCCCCCGCCCGCCCCCCAAGTTAGATTTAGCTCAGCCATGAAAGCTGCTCTCTTTAATGTGGCAACAACTGGAATACAAGAGCTTCACATTCCCCTTTTATATGTTTAACCTTTGACTAAAAGGTTAAACACTTCCCTCACAACTGACTCACATCAGGAAATGCAAGAACTATACTCTCCAGATAAAGCCTAGCTAGCCGCAAAATGCAGTGTCAGCATCTGAAAAAACAAGTAAATCCTGGTAAAACAAGGATTCCTTGTGCAGTTCCTAGTACTGATACAGGGACAGGAAGTGGGTCAGCAAAGGGTCTTTTCCAGACAGAAGAAAGCTGAAACGGTGATGGGAGCAATAAGGAAGTTCAGGGCAGGGGAAGAATTGGCTCCAATTTGAAAGATCTCACTGACATCTATTTTAAATGCATTGATGTATTAAAATCTCCCTAGCAACATAGCAGGAAAGTTTACAAAATATTAAATGGAATATCTGTGAAAGCTTTCCGTGTTTTCTGTTCTTTGCCTTGCAGATATTTTAGGGCCAGATTCTCATCTGGTGTCAATACACCTAATTCCCTTCACTTGGCTGATGAACATGTGCTCAGGTTTGACTGAATGTGTTAGTTTATTCATCAGAAGATGGTGGCCAAACTCTGGAACTATAGCAGCTCCAAGCAAAGTAAATCAAACCTGCAAGTACTTAGCGATTCTGAAATTCAGGCCTGAGGACCATACAGTGCCACTGATTCTTAGTACCCTAACTGCCTAGAGATGTACTTCAGGTTAAATACAGGTCCTGTGAGGCAGGGCAGAGGTCTTGCAGAGCGCAGAGGAATGAAGGCTGCAGGAAACAGGTAAGTGCCGAGCACTGACCTCCACACAGGATAAAGCAGAAAGAAACTGACCTCCACACAGGATAAAGCAGAGGTGAGTCTAAGGGTGACCTCAGAGGTGACCTGTTGGAAGGGACAACTCATACAAGTAAGAGTGAGCCCACAGGGCCCATCATAGGAAGACCCAGGAGTGCAGTTCCTCTACCCAGAGTATGTTGGGGAATAGGAAGAGAAATCACTGTGAACATGGCAATCAACATCTGGAAGTTAGGTCTTTCTTCATCCATAGACACACCATGGCTGATATGACAGCAAAGCAAGAGAGATCCTGAGAAGGTCTTGGTG